CATGTCAAGGAAAATTGAAATTGAAGAAAATAATAATGTGAGGTTCCAAAAGTTTCTTTCTCATTTTAGAGAAATCAAAGATAAAGAAGCTCATTTTTTATTTCGAAATGCATTAGTTGATCATTTGTGGGAAAATTATTATAATTCTAATGAATAATTTAGAATTGATGTATTATTGTGTTTAAGCTATATAATGTAAATTTTTAATGTATTAAATGTATTCTTTAAAACCTTGTTGAGTAGTTTTATTTATATAATAAAAATTTAATTGTGGTTAATATTGTATTTAATAGAAATGCTATAAATTTAAAATGGACTGTTTTGTAAATAGTATAAATGAAAGGTGATATTCCTAATTTTGAAATAAATATAATATTAAAAATATTATTTTGGAGTAGAAAATGGAGTAATACATTGGAGTAAAATTCAACTGCATTTTGAAGTTACTCCATTTTAGAGTAGAAAATGGAGTAATACATTGGAGATGCTCTAACCACCAACCAAACTCAATAGAATCAAATTTAATTAGCTATTTCGAAGTTAAAGAAAAATGGTGAAGATTGCAATTGGAAGTTTGGGTGATTCCTTTAGCGTTGCCTCTCTTAAGGCTTACTTATCTGAGTTTATCGCAACTCTTCTCTTCGTGTTTGCTGGCGTTGGCTCTGCTATTGCTTTTGGCAAGCTAACATCCAATGCGGCCTTAGACCCAGCTGGTCTAGTTTCTGTAGCTGTGGCTCACGCCTTTGCCCTTTTCGTTGGTGTGTCTATAGCTGCCAACATCTCCGGTGGACACCTTAACCCCGCCGTGACTCTAGGCCTAGCAGTCGGTGGTAACATCACTGTCATCACTGGTTTCTTTTACTGGATTGCTCAGTGCCTTGGCTCCATCGTCGCTTGTTACCTCCTAGTCTTCGTTACTAATGGCGAGGTACAAAAATAACTTTTTTTCAAACGACCGTGACTAAAAAATGTTGTGGCGATTTCAAAATCCGGTTTGATTTAATAACTTTATTAACCGAGAATTTGTTTTTGTTTGTTTCCGGTTGTGTAGAGCGTACCAACCCATGGAGTGGCAGCCGGTTTAGGAGCGGTTGAAGGAATAGTAATGGAGATTGTGGTGACGTTTGCTCTGGTCTACACAGTTTACGCCACAGCAGCTGATCCTAAGAAAGGATCGCTTGGAACCATTGCTCCTATTGCTATTGGTTTCATCGTTGGTGCTAACATCCTTGCTGCCGGTCCATTCAGCGGAGGCTCTATGAACCCGGCCAGGTCATTTGGACCAGCTGTGGTTAGTGGTGACTTCTCTCAGATATGGATCTACTGGGTGGGCCCACTTGTCGGTGGTGCACTAGCTGGACTCATCTACGGTGACGTCTTCATTGGATCCTATGCACCGGCTCCGACCACAGAAAGCTATCCTTGATCAATCCTTTTACGGGTCTACTTTGTTTGGTTTCTTAAGCCGCAATGTTTGGTTTGTTTGTTGTTGTGTGAAAGGTTTGGTCCAGTTTCTTTCCCATACGAATGGAGTTGTATTTTGTTGTTGGTTAATAACAAGAAGTGTATATTTTCAGCTTTTTTTTTATGAAGTGATCACCGATCGGAAGCTTAATCAAGAACTTTTGGTTATGTTTTTTTTTTAACTCAACATCCACTTTTCATTAACCAAAAACGGGTACACATGATTTTACACCACAGTAATGTTTCAACCACACTTACAACAAAGAGATTAGTATCATATAAAATCACTACATGGATCCTACACTATCAATCTAGACCTTTGTTGCAGCTTTAACCCCATTAAACACGACACTCTTCTTACGACACAAGAAGAGCCGGTTGTTAGACCACCTAATTTAACCACATGAGATAAAAGCATTATACACCATTGATGATAAACAATAACCAAGTTACATCTTAGAATTTTTGAACTTTTGGTTATGTTAATCCTAAAAATATTAATGGGGTATAAGCATAAGAAAAACGAATAGATAAAATAAAATCTCTATAATATTATTTGAGAAGTCAATTTCTTAGGTGTCGCGATCACGTTAACTCTCACGCTGGTTGATTACTATGATACCCCTAATAAATTAAAAATATATTTAAATATTATTATTTCCTTTTTAAAATCTTCCAAATAACGATATAAAACAAAAAGGAAATATGTCTGAAATTTACAAAACTATTTAAAAACGAAAAATAAGTATATATATAATATGGTTTCATAAAAAAGGAAAATTTACAAAATAGTAATATTTAACTTAAATATATTTTTAAATAACATAAATTATACTTTTTAAGTAATTATACTTTATATCTATATCTTCTTAGATGAAAAAAATATTTGTATATAATGTGTTTTCATAAAAAAAATTCATACAAATAATCTTGATATTAGAAAAAGAAATATTTTTTCTTTAAAAAATAATTTAAACAATAAAATATATATTTTAAAAGTAATTAGTTTTTGTATATATCTATCTATTTTATTAGATGATTACATAAAATAATTAAGTAACATAAACTGATATATGTTTAATTGACAAAAAAATTATAATTAGTATATTTATTTGATTATAATATCTTACCGCTACAGCAAAAAATATAAATTATATTTTACTTATATAATATAATTTCTCAAAAACAATCACCTTTTTACTGCATATTTTAAGAGATAATAAAAACAAAACTAAAAATAAATTTAATGGTAAACATCTTTTGATCAGATAACTACAATTCTTTTAAAATATCATAACACTATATAATTTAACGAGGTAGATATACTATATTTTAATAGTTAAAATTATATGTTTTCTTAATAACTCTTTTGATGTTTAATTTTCTGTTTTTATGTTTGTGGAATTTAATATAACCATAATCAAAATACATAAGAAAATCATAATTCTTTATTTTAAAAATTATTTAAAATAATTTCAGTTTACCATCCAATCAATCTAAGGCATAAATTATTTAAAATTTCTAAACTATTTAATTATTGTAAATATTGATATGTTTTCATAAGCTTCTGAAAATTTATTATTACTTATGTATGTAATTTAGAATCAGACACTTTAGTTTTTTTTTTTCGTTCTAAGCACAAAAATATTAAAATACATAATTTTACTAAGATATACTTATTTCTAAGATAACAACCAACATAAATGTAAATAAAACAATTAATCAAAAATTTAAGATATTTAGAAAAAAAGATTATAGTTGAATTCAGAGAAATAGATAGAATCCAATATATATATATATCCAAATGATAAACTAGCTAAATATAATATATCTAAAATTATATATAACTAAACTAATATAATATTATTAATATAATTATACATAAAAACTATAAATTAATATAAAATTTAAAGTAAATATCAATCAAGTATTATAATATATTTATTTTATAAATATTTATGCCCGTGCATGAGCACGGGAAAATCACCTAGTAAAATAAATAAAAGTTGAGTAAACTCACTCTATTTATTATTGTCAAAAATGCAGTGAAATGTGTTTTTCTTTTCGTTTTAAATTTTGTTTACTTTTTGTTGAACTAATATAAATGATAAAATAAATTATTTCATATATTTTATTCTAGAAAATGATAATAAACTTAAAAAAATATTTGAAAATAGCTGAAATTACCAGTTTTAAAGTCCTCAAATACCATTTGAAAATTTAACTAACAATAATACTCAAGGGATTTTATCACATTAACATGTATAACTAGTCAACTGAAAAAAGGTAGTCAATTGTAAGTGTGGTTTTAAGAAAATAGTTTTAGTGGATTAAAAGTTGAACACAGTATCTATATAGGTAAAATCTTTAAAATAGAATTTTTTAAATATTGAGATTAAATGAGATTTAAGATTTCATTACACCAATAATAAAATAAAATAAATAATAAAATTCAAAATTTCCAAAATGCACAACTTGTTTAGATAAGCACCACTCTTTCCCATATCAGGCCTAAACTTAAATAGCATATTTTGAAGCCCAAATAGTTGGTCTTATTTGTTTGGGTACTCTGGTGAATGATAAATAGCAATGCTAAAACAGAAAGGACATAAACAATTTGTTAATCCGTGAAACCACTCAAACGATAAGAGTACATTAACAGAAAACAAAGTGGTCTCTTTTACGTATGATTATTATTTGATGGAGCTGGTCGGCTTAGGGGAATGAATCGTGTAACAAAAGCCGTCCGCTCAAAAGACAAAATGCTCTCAAAACAATGCATTTGTCGCCTCTTTCTGGTTTCACAAACCGTCCTACCAGAATAAGAAATTACCTGAAATTCATGGGCAACGTTCTCTCTCTAACTACAATAATATCCTCCCTTTATCCACACACACACACATATATATATATATACAAGAACATGGAGAGGAGTTGCTAAATTTTCCAAGAATCTTACGGCGATTAATCACTCATCTAGATTTTTATTGTAATCTATATCTCAGTTGTTATTAGTCCCCACGTACTTTTGAAACTTGAGTGGTTTGAATCATTCTCTCGCTCATTTAAAAAAAAAAAAAGAATCTATTATCTTGTGTACTTTTGTTTATGCTCTTCCTCTTCTCTTCCACCTAAGTCAACATCATCCTTTTTCATCTCCAAAAGTTATTCCTTTTTAGTTTTATCATTATCATTCATAGTGTTTTCTTTAAAAAAAGTTGACAGTTCATTTCCAAGTTTTATTTCTGAAACTCAAAGCTGGTTCTCTGTGTTGGAATCACATGGTTTTACTCCCACCAGAAAATTAAATTCTCCCACGTCAGCTTTTGATCGTCAAGAAAGCCTCGTTTTGGATCAGAGTATTCAATCATCATCGAGTATAGGAAAAAGAAAATGGAACGTGGTGGTGGGTTTTATCCAGATTGGAAGGAAACTTCTTCTTCCTTGTTTGAATCAGAGAACATGGAGGAAAATGAGATGAAAGAAGCTGAAGAGCTTTTCTCATCCATTCCACAGCCTCAGACACCAAAAGAGCCAATGGAGTTTCTGTCAAGATCTTGGAGTCTCTCTACCTCTGAAATCGCCAAAGCACTTGCACTCAAACATAGACAACAACAACAACAACAACAACAAGAACAGTTCTCTGTTTCACAAAACAACAACACTCCTGTTCTCTTCCCTAATGCTGCCGCAGATCCACTTATGGTAATAACACTTTTCTTAACCCTTTTCCACAGTTCTGATCACGTCAAAAACATTTTTCATTAGAACTTTGGAGGCTTTTTTTTTTTATTTTAGGCTGGGAAGATTATGAACTCGTTTGGAACTCGTAGAGCAGGAACGTTATCCAAATGGTTTCACCACCACAAGGAACATAGTAGCAGCAGCAGCAACACCACAAACTATCTCAAGAAGAAAGACAAGGTGCGTGTTGAGAACGCCCACGTGCATTCTGCAGTTTCTATAGCTGCTCTAGCTGCAGGTTTAGCCTCTGTGACATCTGCAAGCAATTGCAAAGGGTCAGGCTCCAAGATGGCTCTGGCTTTGTCCTCAGCCACTGAACTGTTGGCTTCACACTGTGTTGAGATGGCTGAGAGAGCCGGTGCTGACCGTGCACGTGTTGCTTCCACTGTTAGGTCATCTGTGGATATCAACACCCCCGGTGATCTCATGACTCTTACAGCTGCTGCTGCAACTGGTAATGTCTCTTGTTCACAAGCCTTTTAGCTTCGCTGGTGGTTCATACTTGTGGATCTGATTTTTGTTTGAAATGGAAACTATAGCTTTGAGAGGAGAAGCGGCTCTGAAGGCGAGACAGCCAAAGGAAGCAAGGAAAAACGCAGCTATTACACCTTTTGAGAGAAGCTTCTCTGACTCTCATTGGCCTGCAAACATTCAGTTTAGATTGGAAGAAACAAATCTTCCACTAGAAGGTGAATTGATGCAATGCACACGAAATGGTAAGTCCTGTCTGTGAGACTATTATCAAATGAAGAGTCTGCTGAGATAAGACTATTCATCAATGTAGTTGAATTTGCAGGAATGCAGAGAACAAAACGTGTCTGTGTCTATATCAACAAGAAGTCTCAGGTACAGAAGATTTGCTTAGAATCCTAACCACAAAACACATCTCATTTCACTTCACTTCTGATCCAATGCTTACTATGCTACTCATAATTCTTCAGGTTATAATCAAACTCAAAAGCAAACATGTTGGAGGCGCATTCTCAAAGAAGATCAAATGTAATCATTTTTCCTAATCTTCCAGTTTTAAACCTTTAGATGAATAAACCTGAAAAGACATTACATTCTGAACTTGCTTCTGTTCCCTTTTTTTTTGAAGGCGTTGTCTATGGAGTCTGTGATGAGAAATCAGCTTGGCCTTACAGGAAAGAGAGGGAAAACTCAGAGGAAGTCTACTTTGGTTTGAAAACCGGACAAGGTCTTTTGGAATTCAAGTGTAAGAACAAAGTTCACAAGCAGAGATGGGTTGATGGGGTTCAGTCTCTTCTCCGCCAAGTAAACTGCTTAGAGGCTACCAAGGGCTCTTTGGGATCCTTAAGTCTCACCAATCACAGATGATTCAGTATATATCTGATTTTATATTACATATTTTTCCACATTTTTGCATTTATGATGTATTTGCAAAAAACAGGCAATGTACAACATGTTTGTTCAGATGATCACTTTAAGTGTTAGGAACCATTTCTATGTACAGAAACTCTTAAGAAAAGAGAAGGATTTATCTTAATAAAACTCTTTTTATTTCCCAGTGAATATAGTTTCTGATTTGCTAAGACATAAGATTGATGTGTAAGGTATGATGAATAAGTATAACCTTGCTTGCTTGTATGTGGTTCTTATGAGAGCTATATATGTCAGAATACTACAGTCTTGTGTGTTCCGTAAGGCAATACTCGCAGCTCGCAGTAAGATTTTAAAGCTTTCAATAGACACTTCTTCTCGAGGTCTTCTGATTTTTGGACAAAGCTCGTCAAATTGTCTCTGTGGGAAACTCTCTCAACCTGCAAAAACACTCAAAAAATTGAGACGCTGGCTAAAGAACAAACAATGCAACGCTCATAAACTAATTGGGAGATAGATGAGATGAATCACCATTTGTTCAATGATAGGACCTGAATCAAGTTCCTCTGTAACAAAGTGAGTTGTTGCACCAATTAGTTTCACACCTGCATCAAAGGCCTACCAACAGAATCTAGAAAGAGTAAAAGAGACAGGAACGAGAACTTTGAGAGACTTCAAAAAAAAATATGCAAAGGGTTCATCAGAAACCTGTTTTGCAGGGCTTCTCCCTTTGAATGATGGTAAGAGTCCATGGTGTATGTTGATAACATCTTTTCCATAACCTTTCAAGAAGTTAGCAGATAACACTTGCATGTATCTAGCGAGAACTATAAAATCAGTATCCTTGACTAACTCCAGAATCTCCTCCTCTATCTTGTTCTGATCAGTTGTTGGCAGATAATGATATGAGATGCCATGCCTTTGGAGAAAGCGCATAATATGTGTGTTTGGAGCTCTTTCATGATTACTGAAACACACACACACACACAGACAATAGTATTCTTGAATCACTATCCATTCAAGTTCGTTTTGGGAAGAGAAGTTACAAGTAAACCTTATCACACATGTTATATCAACAGGAAGCTTCCCATCCTGCCATTTATGTAACATTTCAACCAGACAATGGTCCTACAAGACAGAGCAACCAATCACACAACTTCAGGAGAGGACACATATAAAAAGGGTCCTTCAAAGATATATATATATATATACTTACCTGTTTTGAGAGTAGAAGAGCAATCTTGTACTTGGGGTCTAAAGAGGGAACTCTTACAACTGAGCTCATAGCACTGAATTTTTTAGCAATAGTTTGAAAATCTTCATCCATCTGACTCCTCGGCCATTTAACAGGATCAAATATAAACTCGCTGCCAAAAGAAATTGCCTTTTGAATCACAAACTAAACCCAAAAATAGAAACCTTTCAATCTATAAAAAACACAACAGAACTCAAAAACACTCCAAACTTACTTACACAGATTGAGAAATGTTCACTTTGAAGACATTTGTTCAAAAAAACAGCCAAAAGAGAATCTTTTGAAGTATAGCATCTATTCAAAGCAGAGGTTTTTATAAAAATGGAAAGTATACCTTCTAGAGTAGAAGACGTTCTTGTTCTCAGGAACAAACACATCGTAACCAAGAATGTTGCCTCCTTTTGCAGCAATACAATCTGATAGTCTCGCTACAATCCCAACCACATCCTAAAGAACAGAGAAAACAGAGTCATTCACTAGTTTGTTGTTGGGGAGACATGAAATGAAATGAAATGAAATGAAATGAAGATTGGATTACCGGACAATGGAAGACGTGGACGCCGGGGACGAGAAGGGGAGAGACAGAGGAATCGAGGGAGTCACCGTGAAAATGAGAAGATTTGAAGGACCATTTCATAAATGATCCGAAAGCTGTGGCGGAGAGTGATGAGGTTGTTGAGACTCTTCTTCCTATCATCATCATCCTCGTTGCAAAGCAGCAACCACCTTTGCACTAAGCCATTGTTTGTTTTACTTTTTTTTATATCTCATCACCTTTCCTTTTCATGTCGTTTGCTCTTCACATTTTTAAGCCAAAGATTTAAATATTTTTTAAAAATAGTATTAACAGATTTATATACAGTATAAAGCAACAAATAATAGTTTTGTCAGCATATAAGAAATTCTATTGGATAATCTTGTCTCGAATTTTTTTTTAAATTTAATTAATTTTCTCAAATTATCCATTGCCATCTGTCTCATATATATAAGTAGAGATACTTTACTGGAAAAAACTTTTGTAAATGTAGAATATGATTTTTTTTTATTTTTTTAAAATATGATTTTCTAATAAAAAAAGAAGAAGAGAAAGTGAGTTCTATATAGTTTGTTTGAACACACATTTAATGCATGTAGGGAGTTTAGTCGTTATAAGAGCACACTTTGTTACAAAATGTGAAGAACCTATTCAATTTTTTTTTGCCAAAATAGCAACATCAGATTGTACTTCACTAGCTTGACGTTATTAATAGCTCTTTCTAGTTTTCATTCTTGCTCAGATTGGCCTGTTATGTCCCAGCTCGCTTTTGAAACTATTAAGATGGTTGACAGCATATTCACAAGATCAAGCACGGTAGCGCTTTAAATGCTCCCTGAGACAATCATTATCGATTTGACTGTTACAGTTTTGTAAATGTTACACATTGCTGCTAAATGTTAGAGTTTTCTGATCAGTTTCAACTACGAGATGGAACCCCTACATGTTCTTCATTACGGCCTTTTGTTAGAAGAAAAGGCTAGGATTATAACCTCAACGATCACACACAGTTGAGGACTTGAGGTCCTTTTTGGGACCTAGTGATTATAATAAATGTTAAGGAGGAAAATGAAAAAGGATTGAGCTTACATTGTGGGAAGCACCGTGAAATGCATCAGATCTAAAGAGTCGCTCAGAAGTTGATATGATTTAAATACTCTAAACAAATTGAAGTCAAAATCCACTAAGCCCTTTAGAATCTGAAGGACAGATTCATTGAAGGAAGGCTCTAATAAGGTACGATAAATTCTCTATAAAAAGTAATAAATAATTCTCAAACACTAAAAATATACCACTTTGAGAAAAACAAATAAATAAAGAAGATCATCGGTAACGAGGGAGGGATAAGGTGTTATTCCTCTTCCATGTAGACCTACGGGAAGGTCTGTTCTTGTGATTGTTGTGACCTTTTCCACGAAGACCACGATTCTTCTTTCCTTCCGAGGTGATCCCTCTGAGTTCTCTATGCTTGTGCACTGGGTTGCAGATCCAGCTGATCCTTGGATCATTTCGGATAGCATTGTGTGCAGGGTCCACAAGTATAATCTCGTAGTACTTGTAAGTAGAGTCCTGAGTAAAAGAAAGTAAAAAAAAAAACCATCATTAAAATTTAAAGTAAGATCTCCACATAAACATGACAATTAGATAGTAACTAGAGTTTACCTCGTTGAGCCAGTAGGAGTTAACGACCCTAAGGCCACCAAGTTTACGACCAGCACGTTCCTCAGCAACAGATCTCTTACTGCGTTGAAATTTGAGCTGTGTCACTCCCTGATTAGTGGGTTTACCATAAACAATACCCTTGGGAACAGGTCTCTTGCGACCTCCACGTCTCACACGCACACGGTACACAACAAATCCCTAACAAAAAAAAAATGTATCAAGAGACATTAGCAAAAAAAACCCCTTAAACTAAATGAATGAAAACATTAAACAAATTAAAAATTCGATATATAAATGTAAGAGCATCCCCATTGAGAGAACAAAAGAAAAGTTCACACGGATCAAAAAAAAAAATTAAAATAACCCGATTCTGTTGAACCTGCGTGGCTTGAACTCGTTACGGTGATACCATCACTGTTTCGTGGGTTCCATGCTACGTGACGAATCACGATTGGACCATTGTTATTTTTTTTTAAAAAAAACTCAATTGAACTTTGAGGTTCACCAATGTTCATACTCTAACAATCTTAGACAAGAACATATTCCACAGTAGATAAAAGAGCTGTTCGGTCAGAAGATTGAATAGATGATTTTTCGCTGGTCTCAGGAGTACTCTATCATGTTAACGCAGACATATAATGCCTTACGTGTCAAGACACCGCTTGACCAGCTTATTTTACCTAAACCCTACAGACAAGAGAAGAAGAAAGCATACCTGCTTGGCTTTGTAGCCGAGACGACGAGCTTTGTCGGGACGAGTGGGACGAACAAGACGGACAATGGAAGGCTGCTGTCTGAACTCCCAACACCTAATCCTCTGCGTAAACCTCATCACATCTGACTGCTTCTTCCTCCATAGTTCCGACACGTACTTGTATGCACCTATAGTTATCCAAAAATAAATAAAAAATCACATTTTCATCCCTCATACACGCACAACATATATCACCAATACACAATGAACATCATCACACACCCATTGCTGATTCCTTGCGTCGCAGCCACTTCTTTTCCTCAAACTAGGTTTTTTTAAAAAAATATTAAGATGACTAGGTGATTTTCCCGTGCTCATGCACGGGTATAAATATTTATAAAACAGATATACTATAAAAATTGCTTGCTATTTACTTTAATTTAAATTAATTTATAATTTATATGCATAATTTATATTAATAATACTATAGTATTTTAGCAGATGAATGTAGATATGTTATATCTAATTGGTTTTGTTATTTTTACAGTCGATTTAGTTATCATATTATTAAATTATATCTATTTTTCAAAATTCAACTACATTGTTTTTTATTCTAAATATATTAAATTTTGATTAATTTTCTTATTTGTATTTAGGTTAGTTGTTGTGTTAGATACATAAATATATTTTAGGAAGATTATGTATAACTTAGTATATATTGTTTTTAGAATGAAATAAAAATAAACTAAAGTTTCTGATTCTAAATTACATAAATTAATATAACAAAAACATTCTGAAGTCTCATGCATGTATATAAATTTTACAAAATAACTGATTGCAACAGTTGGTTAATATTTTATTTTCATTTGTTAATATGTTTTGAGTCATCCTCTAATTTATATTTATAAAATAAATTATTATTATTATAAAACTATATATTTTTATTCTAGTTAAATCTATGATTTTAGATATAAGTTGGATTAGGTGATTTTCTCGTGTTCATGCAAAAATATAAAATCAACAACATAAATAAATCATACTAATTGATTACAAATTTGTTTTATAATTTATATGTAGATCTTGTGTATATAATTACATGTTGTTTTAATCTGACATGTGATTTAAGATATATAGTATCTAATCGATTTAATAATTATTTGGATATATTATATTGCATTTTTTTGTTGATATTACTATAATTATTCTTATATATAAAAATATAATTATAAATACATCTATTTTTATTCCAGCTAAACCAAATAAGATCAGTTTTATTTAACGTGGGAGTTATGTTTTTTATCTAGGATGTGTAAATATATTTTCATTTTTTGTATATTTGATGTTGATTTTAAAAAACCAATAAAAATTAAATTGATGATTAATATGACAACATAAAAGAACATGACCGATATAATTTTAAAAATAATTTATATTTTGATGTATAAACGATAAATTAAAATCTATATTAATAATTTTAAACATAAGAATTCAGATTAGTTTGGGAGTTCAGATTATAAAGGAGACAGTGGTTGTTAAAAATATAAATTATAACTTAAAATCAACTAAAGATTAAGAAAAAAGAAGTAAAGTAAATATCTATAGTTCGCTAAAAATATATTGTCTTATAATATTTAAAATGTTTCTGTAATTATTTTATTAAATTATTTTATTAAGATAGAATTATATAAAAAATAGTTACATTTTCTAATAATGTCATCTTGCTTAAGATATTTTAAAAGTATGTTGTTTACTATTTTAAGTAAATAACAAAATTTTGTAGAGATTATTTTATATAAGAAAAATATTAATTTACTTTTACTTTTTAAAAATAAATACTCAAACATTTTTTTATATTTAATATTTTGAAATCATCTTATATAAGAAAAATATAAATATACTTTAGATAATTCGAGATATTTTTAATTTATGTAGTCTAATAAAAAATACAAAGAAATTTTCAATTAAATTTATGTTAACAAATTATTATGCAAAACATATGTAAAACCCTTAGTAATATTAGTTAGTTTTGATCATCTGAAAATATAGCTTGATGTAAAGAAAATATTATTATTACTTTAAAAATATATATATTATGTTATTTAAGATTATGTATTAAAAGAAATATATTTCTAATATTAAATGCTTATTGTGAACTTTCCTTTTTTTTGAACTCAAATTATATATGTGATATATTTTCGTTTTAAAAATTTAATTTTCTTCCTTTAATAAAACTTTTATTGTAAAGTTTCCTTTTTTTATTAAATCAACTTATTTATTATACATATTTCGTTTTTAAAATTTATAGTTCATTAATTAATGTTTACTTTTATTATAAATATTATTTGGAAAGAAAATAAAGAAAAGAAAAGATAAATTAAAAATAAATAAAATTGTAATAGTAATGGAAATCAGATATAATATTTTTAGTTCATTAAGGGGTATCTATGTAATCAACCATTGTAAAAGTTAACGTGAGCGCGACATATAGGAAACTGACTTCTCAGATAATATTATAAAGATTATTTCACGTAGGAGTTAGGGTTTCCCCCACTTTTAATCTGGCCCAATAGTAAGGCCCATTACGTAAAAGTAATTAAAACAGAAACTTTAATATTGGGCCAGCCTTACGGTTCTTTTTTTTCCAACTAATAAAAAGCAATACGATAAGATAATGGCAGGGAAGGTCTCTTTTGGATACGAACAGATCCCTCTTGCACAAACCCTAGTGTTCTTTCGATTTCCATCATCGGTTTCTGTACCCTTCGAGATCCGTCTTCTCCAAAATCTCATCGAGGTTTCTGTTCAATTACGTGTGTCGGTTGCTTGGAGCTTTCATGATTTGCTGATTTGAAGATTTAATCGGTTGTTGAAGATTTAATCGGAGTTATCTTTTAGCTGAGCTCTCTCCCTGACATCTACGCTGTTCGATCCAACACGGAAGTTCACCTAAATCTCGATCCTGAGCTTGTCGGAAGTTCTCCCTAATCTGAATCCTAAGCTTGTCGGAAGTTCTCCCGTGTGATCTGTTGGTGCTGTCTTAACGCGCGTGAGAGGTTTCGTCTTTTGTGAAGTCGAATCAGACAAGTACAGAAACCATATGAGTTTTTTTTTCTTGTAGTTACTTTTGTTTTGTTTTTTTTTTTTTGTCTTTTTAAGAAATCAGTTTCTGGAATCTTAGATTCTTTCTTGTGTGTTTGTTTCATAATGGTTTTATTAAGTTAGTAATAATAATATCATATATATGTATTTTGATTCCGTTATTCAGATAAATCGAAATGGCAATTTATTACAAGTTTAAGAGTGCCAAGGCATATGATACCATCTCCATGGATGGACCTTTTATATCAGTTGGTTTTCTCAAAGAGAAAATTTACGAAACTAAGCATTTGGGATCTGGTAAAGACCTTGACATTGTCATCTCTAATGCCCAAACTAACGAAGGTTTGTCTCTCTCCTCTTTTTTAGTAGAATAAAGTCATGTGTTTTGTTGTTTATCAAAAATATGTAGATTTTGAGTATGTTTTTTTTGTTGCTTCCCTGCATTGTTTTTTATGAAGAACTGTCATGTCGTTTTGTTGTCTAGCTGAAATTTAAAACTGAGCTACTTTCCTTGTTAGTTGAATCATTAAATTGAATTGCTTAAACTATGATGGTGTCACTATCAATCATGTTTTTGGATTCTGTATTTTCTTTGAGTTGAATATAAGACTGTTCTTGATTGGTTATGGTTGTGAATAATTGGACTTAGGATTTTCTCGCTTACATAAATGCAAGCTGTGGCCTTGATATATTTTTTTCTCTATAAATTTTTTTCTTTTTCAGAATATCTGGACGAAGCAATGTTAATCCCAAAGAATACATCTGTCCTAATTCGCCGGGTCCCTGGACGCCCTCGCATCAGAGTTATCAATCAACAAGAGTATTTTCCTGTCTTAGTAGTCTCTAATTTCTCAATTTCTTTCGTGTCTTTTTTTTTTAATTACCTTTAACTCATGTGTAATAATGTACATATCTACGCTTTGCAGGCCGAGGATGGAGGAGAAAGTCGAAAATGTTCAGAAGACTGATGTGAGCAATCATATTGCTACTGATGCATCTGCTGTGAGTTGTTCATTGCAATCTATTCTTGGTTTTTTTTTTATCGTCTCTGACTTCAAATTTCTTAGTATTAACTCACTCTTTAATCTACTTTTTAGGCTGAAGATGAGTTTGACGAGTTTGGGAATGATTTTTATTCAGTTCCTGCTGCCCCAGCTGTCAATTATAGTAACCCATGTCCTGATCCTGCACCAGCCGATGAGCAAGTAGATGAAGAAACCAAACTTAAGGCGTTGATAGACACTCCAGCATTAGATTGGCAGCAGTAAGTAGGGTTCTTTAACTGATAGGAACGGTCATGCGAAATAAATTTTAGCGATACAGTTTGTTTATTTTTCTTTCATGTGACAGACAAGGTGCAGATGGTTATGGCTCGGGGAGAGGTTACGGGAGGGGTATGCCTGGAAGGATGGGTGGAGGTGGACGCGGTTTTGGTAATGGTAAGTTCATCAGTTATTATACAAAAAATTGTGTTTAATCTTGCAATAAAATGTAAGATACTGATGCTGAGTTTACTTTTGGTTGAGCAGGAATGGAAAGGAAAACGCCACCACCAGGATATATATGCCATCGTTGCAATGTTTCTGGTACGTCAGTTTTGGAGAATATTTTGTTACTGTTAATGATTATGGTTCTATAAGTGTCTCTTATAGCCTCTAAATAAAAAAACTGTGTACTAAGCGTATTTTTTTTCTGATTCAGGACATTTTATTCAGCACTGCCCTACAAATGGCGATCCTACCTATGATGTTAAGAGAGTTAAACCACCTACTGGTATTCCCAAGTCTATGCTAGTGGCGACCCCAGATGGCTCCTATTCGTTGCCAAGTGGCGCTGTTGCAGTTTTGAAACCAAATGAGTACGTTTTTGTCACAAATTTAAATTTAAGATGATGTTGTCTTATGCTACTTTTTTCCCATAATTTCAGTCTGAATGTTTTGTGTTAATTTACCAAAATTCAGGGATGCGTTTGAGAAGGAAATGGAGGGGTTGCGGTCAATAACACGTTCTGTTGGGGAGATTCCTCCTGAACTAAAATGCCCTTTATGCAAAGAAGTGATGAGAGACGCTGCCCTGACGAGCAAATGCTGCTTCCAGAGCTTCTGTGACAAGTGTAAGTTCTCTTGTCAAATTTGCCAATACATCTGAAGCCTTTACTGTTCTGTAAATTTTTTTCTTCTTTAATTA